AAGGGATATAATCAAATTATGTGGTTGAGCACCTTTTGTTTCATTGAGAACGATATTATAGAGTCAGATTAGTTCTTTGCTTGGAACAGTTTTCCAGTAAAAAGAAGTGGAAGTCTTTTTGCAACTGTTGATTTAACTCTTTAAATCTGTGTCTCCAGTGAAAAGATTTTCTGGGGTACTTCAAGATTTTTCAAGCTCTGCATTTCAAAGACTGATTTCATCTGGAGAGTTATCTGCAAACTGTAGGCTATTATCTGTTGGATTTTAGTCATTAATCAAGAATGAATGTATATTTTTGAAGTTTTCAATATATCTATTTTCCAGCTATTGGAAATGCTTAAAACCTCTGAGATAATTCTGAATACATGACAGATAATATTCTGAGCAGACAGTTCTTTGCTTCTGAACATTTTTTTTCTCATGTCTGTTCCTGTCATACAGCTTTATGACCTTGTGAGTAGGACGACAAGCTTGCCAGAAAAGTTCACCTTCTATTTCCTTGGCCAAGTAATGAGAAATGCATCATCTTCTTATTGCATAAGCACCCAAATATAGGTCTCCAAGTTAGGGGCAATTCTAGCTGTCCAAGGCTGATGGAAAAGTACTGTCAGTAAATAAGAGATAGAGGAGAGTTGAAGCATGGACAAATGGGAATTGGAACTGAATATGGCAAGGATTAGAGAGTTAACATTAGGTCTGACAATCCCACATTGGCAGACAGAGTTGTCATGGTGTTTTAACATATCCTGTAGGAAGCTACAAACATGTACCAATTGTCAGCCCAGTGCGTATTTTCACTAATATTAGTAATCAGGTAAGATTATCAGTACAGGCTTTCATTACTATCTGAACAAACGTAACTATGTAGTGCTACAGAACTGTGTTGTGTGAGCACCGTTGCCCACCATTGCAATAATAAAACAAACAAATTATTTGCTAGAAGGTAGTTAAGCAACAGAGTGAAAAAAATGTGTTTGGGTTTCTATTTTAGATGGGGTCAGAGTTGAAATACATTGCTTTTTTTAAATTTTACCTTTTTCTTAACTTAGCTTAGTGTGGTCTTTGGTAGTCTTCCTTCATTTGCAACGCATTTGGTCTTCTATTAGTTATTTTAGCTCCCCTTTCATGCCCTTTCATTCTTTCTATTCATACATACCCAGGTTAAAAGAATGTTTTATGTTCATGTTTCCTTTCTGCTACTTGTCTATGTCTTGTTTCAAGCAAGTATTTTCATAATAATTTGAGTATCTGAGACGGTGTGCTTATTAGAAAACTATGTATAACATGGACTATTATATCATAGAATATTAGAATATCACTATTATGCAATAATGATAGCCCCCTTTAAAAAAACTAAAAAGTCTAGAAAGTGGTCAGGTGGCAGTGACATTTGTAAAGTAATAGTGCTGTTTTTCCCCCCTCATTCATGCAAGTTCTGCCTTAAAAGAGAATAAATATTTCATATATCCAGTATTATAGTTATTGAGTTGTACTTTTATATGGTTTATGACCTATAGGCTTACCGTTACTGCTGAGGAAGCTGCTACATATCTTTCGATCCTGCTCCATTATTGAGTAGTCAAAACCTTTATCAGATCAAATCGCTTTTGCATCTTGAATCCTATATTGGAATCTAACCATAGCACCGTCAAATCTTGAACTCTATCTTCAATTATTTGTTTACTCCTAGTATATATTGCTTTATTTTTTACTTATATTCCACTTTGTTTTTGCTTGTGATTATATTTGCAGATCTGCCACAACATACTAGTTTTGTGCCTGCGGGAGCTATTTGAGTTCAGATACATGCAGACTGATCCAAACTGGTCGAACTTTTTCTATGACCCAGAATTGCACAAGGTAAAACTCTGAAAGTTGAAATGCACACTATAGGATTTATTTCCTTTTTGCCTCTTTACAGTATTTCCAGTAACTTTACAGTAGGACAAGTGGGCATCTACTTTTAAAGTATATATTAGTTTTGGGGTGAGGGGTCTCTATTGGTATTGGAGAGGATTCTGAGTCATTCCAGCCATGTTTAGTTCTTATGAAGCATGGTTAGACCAGACAATATTTGTCATCTTGCCATCCATAGGGTCTGCGTTTCAGAAGAAGCTTCATACCCTCTAACATCCACATATTTCAGGAAAAGAAGGATGGTGGCATGTAAATTTTATGCCAAAATACACTGGTTTCCTAGTTAAGGAACCTATAAAAGGATTTGGGGGAAAAACTTGAGAGAATTAAAATTCTGAAGTATAGAAATTGAACAGTATTTTTACGATGTTCTCTGGCTTCTTTTTACTCTCTGAAGGTGAATAGAAAAGAACAAAACAATTTTAAAATTATAATCCAAGGCCTATGCAATGTAACTTAAAACAACTCTTCTTTAATCCAAATATATTGTATTGTAATAGTTTAATTTATGGTGGAATTTTGTTATTAGTCTGAATATGCTGCAGCCTTAGAGCTAACGTGCAAAACTTGGTAATTAAAAATATCATCTCCAGACAGTTATCATTTAACAAAATTTCTAGATACTGTGGATTGGAGAGGCTGGGCAATCTTTCCATCTAACAATGAATTTGATGGGAATGAAGTTCTTCATTGAACTTATATCTTAGAAAAAACATGTTATTAGTTGCCATTAAGTACTGCAAGAATTTTTTTATATTTGCTATCCATAATTGTAGAAGGAAGAGGATTAAATCTGGAAAAAACCTATTTGGTACTGGCTATAGGGTAACTTAGATAAATAACATGCAGGATCTGATAGTCTTGATCACTGAGGAGGCACATTATGCTGAATTTCAATGTCTTCTGGTCACTGTTTAATAAGGATCTTCAATAGTATCATAAGGGAATATCTTTATTTGAAGTGGCAAAGTGTAACTTTCCACTGCAGAGACAAGAAGACAACAGAGCCTGGTCTCTATACCCAATGTTAAAATATTTCTCTACCAGATGAAATAGCCTATTTGTACTACAGATAGTCCTTGGCTTACAACCACAATGGAGCCTGAAGTTTACATTGCTAAGACAGTTAAGTGAGTTGTGCTGCATTTTACCACCATTTTTGCCCCACTGGTTAAGCAAATAATTGCAGTTGTTAAGCGAATCATGTGGTTGAGTGAATCTGGCTTTCCCTAGTGGAAACCAACTGGGAAGAATACAAATCACATGACACAGGGACAGTGTAATTGTCATAAATACAAGCCAGTGTCAAGTGCCCAGATTTTGATTATGTGACTTATCTGAATGCTGCAGTGGTTGTGTGAAAACTGTTCATAAGTAACTTTTCATTGCCTTTATAACTTTGAATGGTCTCTAAATGAATGGTTGTAAGTTGAGGATTACCTATATACACCACTTCAGCTACTATCAAAATATTTTATTGCTGTATTTATCCAGTAGTAGACTTATTATAAGACGTACTATTTTGTAATGTAGTGTAATGGTATCACTTTAGGATTTTTCACCCATTCCAATGAAAAGTAGATGAATAATGTAGCTTCTGAGAAACTAGTATGAGCATTCTTTTAGACCTTTCATTTAGAAATAAACCCCCTGGAATAGTTCTGCTTTCATTCAGAAAAATTTGTGCACCTCTTTTTCCAGGTGGCACTTCTGGATTTTGGAGCAACACGTGGCTTTGATGAGGAGTTCACAGATACCTACATAGAAGTAAGGGCTCTAAATTGCTATAGTCAAGTGCCTTTATGGGGCTTGTGACATGTGGATGAGAACAGCTTTTTGTTGCATACATTTTGTGATTTTTTAAAAATTGTATTCAATTTACAGGTAGTCCTTGGGTTCAGTGGGAATTGGAGCTGGAGGTGCCATTGCTAAGAGACATGATCATAAAGCACATCATGTGGCTGCATTGCTTAGCAACGGCAGTTCCAGCAGTCCTGGTTGTCACTATTAATCAACTATCACATAGATCATTAAGCAAGAGCCTCACATGATCGCTGTCAGGATTCCGGCACTTACCCCCATTCCAGCTTCCTGCCGGCTTCCCTATTGATCTTGTTTATGGGATATTGGCAGGGAATGTCAGAAACAGTGATCACGTGACCATGGCTCACTGATGTCATAATCATTAGCCAGACACCTGGATCCAATTGTGTCTGCAGGGATGCTATAATGCCTAGAAGTCTGAGGACCGGTTCTGAAGTACCGTTCACTCAGCTCAATTGTAACAGTTGCTGAATGAACAGTCGTAACCCAAGGTCTACATGTGTAGCGTTACACCTTGAGAATATGTTACTCCATATCTCAGTCAACATAACTTTACTTTTCTTGCCTTTGCCTCCTAAAAGAGAATCAAAAATATTTAATAATTAAATTCAGATTTTTCTTCTGAGGAAGAATGTCCTCTTTTCTTTTCCTATTTACATGTTGTTTCTCAGCCCAGGTGGATATTTGTAGTACCGGTTGTTCATATTTAACTAAACATCATAATAGTCCAGCCATCCTATATGATCATTTGGTTGTAATATATGTATTACAACCAAATTGCCATAGAGGGAAAATGGCTATCTGATTAGCTATATATGAACAATTGTTTGATATTTGTTCTACAGGATCCAGATCTAATATAGGTTTCTGTGATAAAAATCACATTATTTTTTTAGTTCTTTTGGTGTTCCTTTTGGAAATTTTACTTTAGTTTCCTGGTACCAACCTTTCAGGAGAAATATTCAGATATTTCTCCTGAAATTTGGGTTCAAAATTCTCTCTTGCATGTTTTGGGAGACAACAGAAGCGCTTGCTTTTTAAAACCAATACTTTTTAGGAATTGCTAAGATATTACAAGGGTGACTTGCTTCCTTGTGAAGTAAATGCTTTTCTTGATTGCAAAAAATGCCTAATTAGATATGTTTTTGATTTCTTGCCTCTTATAGTTAATCAAAGCAGCTGCTGACCTAGACAGAGAGAGAGTGCTAAAGAAATCAATAGAAATGAAATTTTTAACTGGCTACGAAAACAAGGTATGTTGCAGAATCAAACAGTCCCTACTTCACCACTGCTATGAGTTGAGTTTGATTTTCTCAATCAATAGAAGAGAATGCAACAAATATCCCTTCTCACACACAAAAAAGTCTGCTTTATAGGATGTCAAATTTTTCAACTTTCCAAATGTTAGGGGTGCTCAAAAGTTGTGACATGCCTTGAGGATTGTAAATATATTTTGGTTGCTTTAATATAATTGAGATGTGCTTGGTAAGTAGCTAGTAAGTATAATTTTTTTTACATTTTGTTTGTTTCATAGCTACTCAGTTGTTGCATTGCCATCTAATAAGACAGGTTGCAAAAGTGTTTTCTGTTTTAATGTGTGATTGAGTTGCCCACTAGGATGAGCAGAAACCGCTTCCATCTGCTTTTCTCTTCCTTTCACATAAATAGCTAAAACTAATCTGGAAGCCTTGGTTGGCTTAAGCTGTGGTTCCGGTTTCTTGCTCACAAGCAGGCAAAAATCTAAGGTGGTAATAAAAAAAAAGTATATTTCCAAATCTGAAAATCACTGTAACTGCTGAATCATAAATCACCCTCTTTCTCTTCCCTCATACAGTTTAGTATGTCATGTTAAGAAATCTTGACAATCCAGTAGTTACTTTAGTAGATAAATAACAGTAGTAGTTACTTTAGCTGCTAATCTATGGCAGGACAAACATTTGTCCTGGTGATTTTGAAGAGACTTCACTGTCAAGTGATATTTTTTCAGATTTGGCTTGAGCCTTTTTATAGGGAACTATCTAAAATAAAAAAAACACAATCTGAGTTAAGCCATCAAACACTTACAGAAGCAGGTGCTAACTTTCTACATAATATTGAAAACTCAAAATTTAGTAACAGGCAGCAACTTCCCATTTTATATTACGGGGAAAGGATTTCAGCTGAATATTTTTATAAATAAATGGACGAGGGACTGACTGGTTTATAAACTAGGGAATTTTCTCTTTGCTGTTCTTCATAATTTGAGGCCTGTGTATTGAAAAAACTGTCGTTAGGCATATTCCCTATTCTAAGTGTATGTTCACTTCAAATTGACATGCTGGTTTTGATTAAACAAATACGTTGAATTTGAATAAAAATATGTGGAATTGGATTGGAATTATGTGATACCCTAGCTGTTCAAATTCCATCTAAAAAGATTAGGGTATATGCATGTCATGTATCTGCCCTGTTTTAAGACTTGCACTGCAATTATTCATTATTCTGCATGCACTATATTGCCAGCCACAGTTGTCTTAACTGTGCTAAGAAGGCAGAGTCTATTTTGTATATTAAGCCAAGAATCTATGCTTGTGGGTTATTACTCCAGAGCTGGATTTTGACTACTGCTGCTATTTGTCAGACCATTTTTGTCTGGTTTATGTTGGTGCTTGTTGATTCTTTCATTTTCTTTTCAGTAGACCTGCTAGAAGTAGCCAATCACAATCACTTTCTGCTTTGTTTTTAATCAGGCTATGGAAGATGCCCACTTGGAAGCTGTCCTTATTCTTGGAGAAGCTTTTGCCTCCTGTGAACCTTTTGATTTTGGCTCTCAAAATACCACCGAAAAGATACATGGATTAATCCCAGTCATGCTGAAGCACCGGTTGGTCCCTCCACCAGAAGAGACCTATTCTCTTCACCGGAAAATGGGTGGCTCTTTTCTCATATGCTCCAAGCTGAAGGCCAAAATTCCATGCAAAAATATGTTTCAAGAAGCCTACAGTAAATATTGGAGTAAAAAGACCAAAAACCAGTAGTGGCACAAAAGAACTATTGAATATTACTGTCTTATGAATATGGCCCAATCATCAAGCTCTGGCACACCACAGTACTATTTCTTCCCTCTCACGCCTACAGAATTGCTTTAGCAATGCAACAGATGATCTTCTGGAAGCAGAATAATTTTGAGGAAATTGTGCTTTTGTTGGGTACAGTTCCTCCTCTCAACATTCTCACCAGATTTTAGGTGTATCTCCTGTTTTATTAAAAAAAATATAGTGGTTTGCTAGTTTAGAAGATGTGGAAGCAAAAATGAACAGCTGCATTTCATACTGTCCTAGATCTTGGCAATCTTTTTCATATTTTAACATTGGTAGCTGAGTTGACTTTTTTTAAAGAGGTGGAACATAAGTCAAAATGAGTTGGCATAGAAATCTATTTGTACTTCTTTAAATGTTATTTTCCCCATCTTCAATATTTTTTTCAGTTTTCTTCGAAGGTGAAAGGCGGCTTCTGCAGTTTCATACTGCAAAGAATAGAATGCCAACAATATTTGCAACAAAACCTTATTTTTGTATGATATTTTGTGGGAGTCTGTAATGTCTGGGATTTTCTTATAGCAGTGTGAAATATATATATGTGGAGTCTCTGGTGCTCAACAAAACAAGATTTTAAAGAATCTGATACAAACAGTTCATTGGTGTATGTAGAATATCTTACCTTGACATTTGGTTGCTTATCTTTGATTCTTTGAGCTATAAATAGAAGGAATGTAATTAATGAGGTTCTCTCAAAAATTGGGTTTACTTGTTAAATGGAGATTTAGAGAAACAAAGCTCAGTGGCATTTATAAGAGTCCAGGAGCAAAATTGTAATTTCTCTGTCTTCATATTTGGTAATGCAACTTTTGAGATGTATATTCAGTATCAATTATGTTTCAGAACTGCATTGAAAAGCATGATCTACATTTAAATAATACACTTGCGCTATATATATATATATATATATATATATATATATATATATATATATA